CCCCCCCCCCCCCTTTTTTTTTTTCCTTTGCCCAACAAATTTCGTCGCCACGAAGAGAGAAACACCGTCACTAACGCGCGTCGCTTCGATCTCACAGACCTGTTCAAATCCTCGCCGTTTCGTCGCTCCACGAGAGAGAGAGAGAGAAAACGCGACCGGTCGGATCTTGATTAACAGACACGCGCGCGCGTCAGCTCGCCCTCGTATTTCAAAATGGCACCCGTCACGACGCGACCCCTTCCCGCCAAGACGAACCCTCTCATGGTCGAAGGAAAGCAGGACTGTATGCAGCGCCCCGTGACCGTGACGCGAAAGCGCGTCATTCCCTCTACTTCCCTATTCCCTGGCTTTCCATGTGACGAGGCGCGCTGACAGAGAACCCTCTCCCGAAGATGCCGATCTAGTTGCGCGACGCCGTCTAGGTCAGACCAAGCTGACCTCCAAGATGGTCAACACGAGCGGCGATGAAGGCGAGGCCAGCAACCTCGGCGCCGTCTTCGACTACGCCCACCTCCGCGCGCCCCTCCCCAAGGGCATCGTGTCGGGCATCTTCAAGTCGAGCCCGAACAGCTACTTCCTGATGCGCCGCAGCTTCGACGGCTACGTGTCCGCCACCGGCATGTTCAAGGCCACCTTCCCCTACGCCGAGACGTACGAGGAGGAGGCCGAGCGCAGGTACATCAAGTCTCTGCCCACCACCAGCCGCGAGGAGACGGCCGGCAACATCTGGATCCCCGCCGACCAGGCCCTCGCCCTGGCCGAGGAGTACAACATCACCACCTGGATCCGTGCCCTGCTCGACAACGCTCCCATTCACTCCACCAGCGCCAACGCCGATGCCTCGCCGGCTCCCAAGATTGCCGCTCCTCCCAGGTTCGAGCCCTCGTCCGCCAAGGCTGGCGCTGCCGCCGCCGCGGTCGCGTCGACGACGCTCGCCCCTCCCACACCCTCGCGACGCTCGCGCCGATCCGTCAGCCCCGCGAAGAGCACCTCGTCCACCTCGAAGCGTGCCGCGGCCTCGCCGCGCAAGAGGACGGTGACCAAGACGGCCAAGGCTGCCGCCGCCGTCGGTAAGGAGCAGCAGGCCAACGGTGACTCCGCCGACGGCGTGGTCATGAGGTCGACCGAATTCGACCCCCAGGTGGCGCTGGAGCGGAAGTCGGGCGACAAGCCGTCGGACCAGGTCAACGAGGAGGCCAAGTTCCAGAACGGAGACGCCGAGGCCAGGCAGAACGCCACGACCGAGCTCGAGGTGCCGGCCGTGCCCTCGGCCGGTCAGCCCCCGAGCGCCGAGGAGATTGCCAAGATGATCGACTCGGCCAAGAGCATGGTCAAGGACCAGAGGAAGCAGCAGGCCGAAGCCGAGGCCGAGACCGAGGCCGAGGCCGCGACCGCCTCCCCCGCCGTGGGGACGCCGAACGGCAAGACCGCGGAGGGCACCAAGAAGGCGTCGTCAGCCAAGAAGTCGAAGCGCAAGGCCGCCGACATCTCGCTGGGCGACAAGGAGACGGACAGGAAGGACGGCGGTGCCGCCGCCCAGATCAGGGAAGAGGAGGAGGAGGATCAGCAGCAGCAGCAGCAGCAGCAACCCAGGGCGAAGAAGGCCAAGACGGACGTCGAGGTGCGGAAGAGCAAGGTCCGAAGCCGTGCCCTACTGGGTATCGGAGCAACGGTAGCAGTTGGGTATGTTTTACCTTGTCTCCCTCTCTCTCTTGCTATCTATCATGATTCTACCCCACCTCAAACCCCCCCCCATATCCCCGATCAAAGACTTACATCGCAACAGGGCAATCGTTCCTTGGCTCACGAGCTTCTTGTAAAATACCACAACCGCCAATATATATGTATATATCCCTGGGGATATAAAGACGTGACGACAAGCTTTGATATAACAGTATCAGGCCAAGGACTTGGGACATAATAAGAAACAAAAGGAACAAAAACAAATCGGGAGTGCTAGGATTGGCGCGAGTGTTTTTTTTTTTTTTTTACTCCGTTTCTTCTCCTGGTTTCCGTTTATATCTTATCACATCACCATCCTCTTCTTCTCCCTCGACATGTTTCCCCCTCTGCTTATACTTTTTATCTTTTTTTTTCCTCTGTCTCTCCCTCAACTTTTCCAACATTACACTTTTCTACACATCATCCCCTCTCTTTAATCCTCTCTCAACTTGACCCCCACCCCCCCCCCCCCCCCCCCCCCCCCCCCCCCCCCCCCCCCCCCCCCCCCCGCGCGCCTCCTTCCCTCCTTTGGAGCTCCATACATTTACTCAATTAACGCTCTCGGGGGGAAAAAAAAGTTTACAGACCCATTCTTCCAGTTTCTTTGTTCCTTCTTATCTTTTTGCCCGTCACTCGACATCATCGCGCGCCTACGCACCGTTTACTCTTCTACCTTTGTCCCGAGCCTTTTGTCGTTTTCTTGATCGCAGCCTGGACCAGAGAGAAACAACGACGACGACGACGACGACGACAACGTAAACGACGACGACGACGACGTAACCACCAAGAATGAAGGTAGGCCGCACTCTCTTCCTCTGTCTCGCGACTCCGCCCATCTCTGCGCCCGACCGCACTCCCCCGATTCCCACGTCATGCCTCCTCTTTCTTTTTCTTCTTGTAAAAGAGAGAAACAGGAACAAGACGAAGGCGCTGTCTGCACCCGTATTACCCGTATCTGGCTGTGTGGTGTCATGCGCCGGACCCCACCTCCAGACATTGACGGGAGGCCCGCCCCTTTGCCTCGCCCGCCAAAGAATCGTGATCCTGACTTTGCCGCACCTGTTCCATCATTGTCGAGGCTGGATGATAGCCTTTCCTTACCCAAGCGCCTTTTTCCCGTCTTCACCTGCCCGTTTTCCCTTCTGTCATCCTCTCTCTCGCTCTCCCTCCTCTGCCCCTCACCTTGCCGAGCTCGACGCTGCCCTCTCTTCCCGCCCCTTGGCTTCACGTGTCTTGGCGTCCGAGGACAAAACAAAGAAACAGCATTAGCTCGCCTTCTGAACCCACCCTCCGAGCCCACTTGACTAACATGTCCGTCACCCAGGCTCTTCGCCGCTCCATCAAGGGAGACAAGGACAAGCAGTCCGCTGCGCCCGTCAAGTCGCCCGTTGCCATCGTGCCCCCGAAAAAGGTACGCCTCCCGACGAGCCCACACCAGAGTCCGATCCTCGAGCTGCTTCCTTCGAGACGGTCGCCACGCCTCTTCGTCTCCTCTTCTTGCTCGGTCTACGCCTAGCAGCCAGGCCCTCCTTGCTGACCACAGATACTGCCACAGGTCATTCGGGCGCTCTACGACTATGAGGCCAGGTCAGACCAAGAGTTGAGCTTCTCACGAGGCGACTTCTTCCACGTCATCGGTCGCGAGGACGACACCGACTGGTACGAGGCCTGCAACCCCGCCCTGCCCGATGCCCGCGGTCTGGTACCCGTCTCCTTCTTCCAGGCCCTAGGCCGCTCCGAGCGGGACAGCGGCCACTCGGACGGTGCGCGCGGCGCCGTCCCCGCCAAGAGCCCGGACAACGACTCGGGATACAGCGATGGGCCCCAGGGTGTCATGTCGCCTGGCGCCATCTCCGGTCCCATCTCAAGCCCCATAGGCCCCCCGCAGCGCAAGTCACAGCCCGGCAAGCAGAAGGCACCGATGATCTACGGTGTCGTCATGTTCAACTTTGAGGCCGAGAGGGCCGATGAGCTCGACGCCAAGGAGGGTGACGCCATCATCGTCATCGCCCAGTCCAACCCCGAGTGGTTCGTCGCCAAGCCCATCGGCAGGCTAGGCAGTCCCGGCCTGATCCCGGTCACCTTTGTCGAGCTGCGTGACATGGCCTCGGACAAGCCCCTGGCCAACCCGGCCGAGGCCATCAAGAAGGCCGGCGTGCCCAAGGTGGAGGAGTGGAAGAAGATGGCGGCCGAGTACAAGAACAGCAGCATCACCCTCGGAAAGTTTGAGGGCGGCGGCCCCCCAGGAACCGCCCAGAACCTGGATCAGGGTATGGGTCGCATGAGCCTCCAGCCCAACGCCCGCCAGAGCAGCCAGAACAACCTCCAGCAGCAGGCCCAGGCCCAGGCTGGCGGCCGCATGAGCCAGCGGTCCGGCGGCGGCGGCGGCGGCGGCGGGTACGCGCAGCAGCAGGCGTCGCAGCCCAGCGGATACACGTCGAGATCGTCATCGCAGCTGTACGCGCCCATCCAGGCACGCATACCTCGGTACTGCTTTGCCGAGGGCAAGTACTGGTTCGTCATCGAGGCCATGCTCGAGGATGGCAGGCAGTGGGAGCTGTCGCGCTACTACGAGGACTTTTACGACTTCCAGATTGCCCTCCTGACCGAGTTCCCCGCCGAGGCCGGCAACACGGGCACCCAGAAGCGCTCGCTGCCCTACATGCCGGGACCAGTCAGTTACGTCACCGACGCAATCACCGAGGGTCGCCTGCACAACCTGGACGCCTACGTCAAGAACCTGCTCAACCAACCCCCATACATCTCGAGGTGCCTGCTGGTCAAGCAATTCTTTGCGCCGCGCGAGGGCGACTACGAGATTGACCTCAACGAGGCCAGCGCCGGAGAGTACCGTCTCTCGCAAGGATCACAAATGTCGTCTGTAGGACCGGCGGGAGAGGGAGAACGCGGCGTGTCGCGGCAATCATCGCGAAACAACCTCAACGGCACTGGGTACGCCGGACTGTCTGCCACGCCTCGGCAGATGAGCAGTGGACAGGGTGAGTCACTGCATCCATCCCAATCCCGGATGCGCGGGACAGAACGAAGGTGTACATGCTTGCTAACATCATGTGAAAGACTCGGCCTCGCACTCGCACACCCAGTCCCAGTCACAGCCCGGAGGTGCAGCGATGAAGATCAAGATGTACTACAACGGCGACCTGATTGCCATCCGCGTGCCCTCGGATATCCAGTACCAGCAGCTGTTTGACAAGATCCGCGACCGTCTCAAGGTTCCCGATGGCGAGGAGGTGCAGCTCTTCTACAAGGACGAGGCGACGGGGGAGAAGCCGAATCTGATGAGCGACAGCGACCTTGACTATGCTCTCCAGAACAACGAAAAGTTGCTGCTGTTTGTCGAAGTTGTATAGAGAACTTCTCTATCCCTTTTTTTTGGCCCTCCAGCTTACTTTTCTTCCCACTTATACTCTTCTTTCCTCTTCTTTCGTTTTGTCTGTTTCGTCCAAGCGTGTCACTTCTATGACGGGGAAACAAGGGAGAGAAACCATGACAAAACGACTCTGCATATACCCCCCCTCCCCCCCCCCCCCCCCCT